ACCGTCAGCCCTCTCTATCCACAGGTTTGTATCTGAGTATATAACCAATTGCAGATCAAAACACTGTGGGGAAAACTTTGCCCCTGTATTAAATCTACAGATGTTGTGGCTTGCTATTATCCTCTAAATAATACAACAGCTATTTACATAGCATTCACATTGTCTTTGACTGTCTGCATCCTCTAAAAATCATTTTAAGTACATGCAGGGGAGGCTGTGCAGAGGTTCCATGCACACACTGCACCATGTTATAAGACTTGAGCATCTGTGGATTCTGGTGTCTGGGGTGGGGGGTGGGGGTCTTAGAGCCAATGACTTATGGACAATGATGGCTACTGTCCTCTAACAAGGCCCTGAATTACAAGCCACTACAAAGTTCCCAGCCTGGAGGTTCTTACAGAACTACAGAGTGCAGAGGAGCTCTAAGCCCTTGCTTCTTGTGTGGGGGTCAGGTGCTCTAAAGGCCAGGCATTGTCCTCCTACCTACCCTCAGGCAGCTGTACCAGCAAATTTGCTGGGTCAGAATATTTAAGACATAGCATTGGAAGTTGTTTTCAGACAGCCCCTTTGATTTACAACCCTGTGGTTGAATATGTGCAGGATTTTGGCAAAAGACCAACTCCATCTCCTTACAAGTCTGGTCCTGAGGCTTGCCATTTCTAGGGCTCCTGGCAATCATTTGCTTTTAATAATCATTTGAGTCTATCACTTTAAAAATAAACTTGGGTGCACACTCCAACTACAGGGCTCTGATGAATCAAGGCAGAGGGCCGTGCTGTGCTGGGGTTAAAATCCTACTCTGAGCATCTTCTTTTTGGGTTATTTTAGGCTGCCTTGATTTTTCTTAATCAAGAGTAGTCAGTTGCTTCCTGAAAAAGAACTCCCCTCATACCTGAATCTCTACAAACATTACTTATTTGCCAAAGGACTCAGAGCCTTACAGCAAAGCTGCATAAAGCCTAGAAAAACAAGTTGACTTGGAGTTTCTATTTTTACATGGTGTCCTGTTTCCACAGGGGCTAAGACTAGTGGTTTTGAACTCAATTTAGCATTTAAACTAATTTTCAGTCAGGTCTCTATGGACCGGCAATTAGGGGGAGGCAAAGAGTTCAAAGCTGGAGGTTCCAGGCCCCCCTGCACAGGCATGCGTACCCTTTGAAGACACTCTCTCCAGGCTGCTTCCTGTCCGGGGCCAGGCAGTCACTGCCAGCCCAGACAACCTGCTGCTAGACAGTCTCAGGGACACAGGCAACCAGGCTTTACCATGCCCAGCATCTGGAAAGACACTAGCGGCCAAGTCCATTCGTTCTTTCTGCTAACTGTCCTGGGGAAGGATCTAAAAACTTCCTGAGGATGCCGCTGTGCGCGGAGGCCAAGAGGCACAAGGCAAGCAACAACAAGTGAAGAATGAGCCCTTTCAGCTTTTGGAGACATGCGGCCTTCCACTGCCCAGCAGCCATCCTGACTGGGCAACCACAGCAGTCCCAGAGTACAGGCCTGGCTGGGCTCAGGACAGCTTGGGCCCTCATCCCAGTGGGCCACCACCTTCATTCATGGCCTTGATAGTCCTTGGAATTCTAGCAGGGCCCCTTTCTTTTCGTGAATTTTAATTCCACGTGGCAATAGTGTTCAGTTAATACAAGATCATGGTATAAATTACAGAAGGCACCAGAAATGGAGTCTCAGCCTCAACACCCCCACCTTTCAGAAGCAACAGCTAGGCTTCCCATGCCCTTCCAACACACCATTCCCTCCTTTCTTCTTCATGTTAGTTTCACTCTAAGATGGCATTGGCCCGCTGTTCTCCCCTTCCTTAGTCCATTTGCATCGTATGTTCTGGAGAGTACCTCAGTTCTTCAAGTTCTTTCATATTTCTGGAATCTGGAATCTGGGAATCAGACCTGGGTTTAAAGAGTCTACTTCTTAAGAATGTAGGTGAATGCTCCCACAATTGCCTGAGCAGAGAACGCAGAGAAGAGAACAGAAAAGGCGGGAGAAAGTGCCTTGGGGCTAGGTTAGGTGGCAGACAGTGCTTGTATATTCTCTGGCCAGCAGTCCTGGCCTCTCCTGTCAGCCAAAAGGGCTCCTGACTCCAGGGAGACAGGAAGTCAGAAAGCATTCTGACAGTCACCCACTGGTTCTTACTGGTCCACTGTTTCATAGGAAAAGAGACACTCAAGCTCTAAGAGGTCAGATTAGGAGCTCTGACCCCAGCCAGCAGGACAGCCATGTTCCAGGACTGGCTTCCACTTCCAAATTCCACATTCTCACTAATTTATCCAGCCAGTATTTTTAAAAAATCTTAAAACTGTTTAGAAATAAAAACTCCCCTCAAAAGGTCAGTACCATGCCTGTCATCCTGAAATCCCATGCCAAGGCTGGACAACTCACTCTAAAAGAGCTCTTCCCCCAGAAGCCACAGGCCAGACAGGCTCTGATGAAGGAGGAACAGGGAGAGGAGGGGAGGTGTTCCTCCCAGCCTGGACTGAGGTACAGCAGATTGGAGACTTCAGCTGTAGAGCCACACCTTTAAGGTAGGATGAAGAAGCACCTGTAAGAAAAGAAAGGGAAAAGGAAAAACTCCCCACCCCTAACACTTAACAGAACTTAAGACATCAAAGAGTCTATGTGGGCGAGTGCTGGTGAGGAAACAGAACCTGACCTTGGGTGTACAAATTGCAGCTCAAGGTCAGGTATGGGGCAGACAGCCTGGCAGACTCTAGCCCTGACTTGGGGCTGTTGGTGGGGTATTTCTGTTTTTTTTGTTTATTTTTGATAAGATCTCACATTGTAACTTAGGCTGCCCTCAAACTTGCAGCAATCCTCCTGCCTCAGCCTCTCAAGTGCAGAGATTATAGGCACGAGTCTATTCACCAGGCTTAGAGCTGTTTTGTTGTTCATTGGTGAGTCTGTGGAAGGGGTGCAGGGGATGACGAGGACTCTGCTTGCTCAGCAGATGGCATAAGAATTTGGAGTAAGAACAGGACAGGCATGTTCCTGGTTAAGGTGGAGTCAGTAAATAACCTGGATCCCTTTTAGGCATGACATTTGTCCCTGCCACCATGTAGGATCTTTGGAAAGTTAGTCTATACTCAAAGGAAGCCCCAAGTTTAAGTGTGAAATCCCCTTCCCTGCCTTCATCTCTAATTTGATTCCAGGCAAAATGATGTGAGCTATGAAGCTTCGTTACCAAGTCTATTTGGTGCCCCCAGCTGGACACAACTCAGGACAGAACCAGAAGTCCACAGTGCTTACGCATTTTCCTAAAAGAACTACTGAAGCCGGGCCTAGAATCAGGTCCCAGGCAGGCGGCACCCTGATGAGTAGCTTCTTCCCTTGACACCTGTGGTGCAGTTCTAACCTGCTGAAGGAACAGAGCTTCAAGCTTTCCCCACCTCCACTAAGAGGGCAACCAACTCCTCTTGCCTCTTGAGTGCTTCCCACACTCACAGGGCAGAGCACAGAGGACCTGCCCTGTCCTCCATGTGGGAAGAAAGTTCCAGCTCTATCTTGAGTCCTGCTGGTGAGCTGCCCACATGTGGTACAGCAAAACCTCACGGAGTCTTGGACCTGGGGGTTCTGGCTTCCCCAAGAGGCATTACCTGGCACACAGGGAAACATCCCTGGTGAGATGCATGCAGCTTTTGCCAAATAGGTTTAACAAAAGTTTCATAGTTTTAATAAAGATGACTTCAAATGACATAGAGAAAGAAAGGTAACCCTGCACCATCTCTGGAAGAGTACTTAGAATGACTTGATTAGTTGTGAGTGAACACAAAGGCCTAAGAAAGAAGACTTAAGAAAATGGACAAATGAAACAAGTCAACCAAGACTTCATGTTTTAGACCCACAGTTCTACACAGTGCTCTACCAAGGCCAGCTGGCATGGCAAGGAGATACCATGGAGAAAAACCCCTGACTACCTCAACCAGCCTGAGTCTTTCTGCTCTTCCTGGCTCTGAACTTTATCAACATCTGTATAGAAATGATCAAGTTATACAGTGACATGATTTGGAGCTTGTGGGAAGGAAATGCCTCACAAATTCCAAATATCATCACTTAAAACATGACCTTTCGAAGGTTTAATTGCTTCCTGTCCTCCTCATTCCCCTTTCCAATCACAGTGACTTCTCTTGTCCTCTACTAAAATGGCAAGAACTCAAGTCTGGAAGAAAGGGATTTGGGTTCAAGTGTCGACAATGAAATTTACCAAGTATGTGATGGTGGGGACCTGACCCCCGGGACCTTCGCTGCCTCTGTCTAAGAGGGTCATGATGACATGTCTTAGGAGACCACTGGCAACACTGAAGCAGGAACAGGGAAAGATCTGAGGGAAGCCTAAAGCCCTATGCAGATGACGGGCCACTGTCCCCTGTCTATTGTCCCTTCTCTCTTCTTCAGGGCTGGGTGTGTGCTTGTGATGGTGGGGACCTGACCCCCGGGACCTTCGCTGCCTCTGTCTAAGAGGGTCATGATGACATGTCTTAGGAGACCACTGGCAACACTGAAGCAGGAACAGGGAAAGATCTGAGGGAAGCCTAAAGCCCTATGCAGATGACAGGCCACTGTCCCTTGTCTATTGTCCCTTCTCTCTTCTTCAGGGCTGGGTGTGTGCGACTGACAGGAGTCTTTCCCAGTGTGGTCATGGGACACTCATTTCCTTCATGCTTTCCTCTGAGAGATAGGAAGCTTCTAGAATGCTGGAAGTATTTTCGATGAGCCCTACAATCACTCTCAACTCCCATTAGGAGGTCCCATGTCAAAGAGCAGGTAGACAGCAGCCCCAGAGCTCTACTGGCTATGTGTCCTTCCCCAACCTTCCACACTTCCTCTCACTTCCCAGAAACCCCACCTTCCAGTGCTCTCCTCCGTGAGGCAGAGCCCTACTTTCTTTAGTCCCTTGGGACCTCTATAACATACCCTAAGAGCCACCTATTTTATTTAGGCAAGAGGGTGTGGAGGGATGTGAAGCTCTATGGGCTCTGTGACCAGCTGGGTACCTTGGCATTCTGCAGAGGTGGCTGGTAACTGGATGGCCGGTAGAATACCCTCTGGGTGGCGTCAGTGTGGATGTCACCCAGGAAGAGCTCCTCTACCAGGTGGTCCAGGCTGTGGTGAGGATACTGCTTCTCCACTCGGATGAGCTGCAGCTCATGCATGGCAAAGTTCACAGCCCTGGTGCACTCGTGGCCACTCTCTTCCTGCCACAGGTCATAGGCCATGTCTTGCACCCAAGGGCTACCAGTGGCCAGGAATCCTGGGCATGTGCAGTTCACCAGCCGGCTGAGTTGTTCGGCAACTGCCTCTGTATGGCAGATGATTTGGACGCCGTGCAGCTGGTAGTCAGCCTCAGTGCCCCCACGGATGATCCAGGATGCCTGGCGCAGGCGGATCTTGCCACGGATGATAAGCGTGTAGGTGGGGTTTGTGCAACGGTTGCTACCATAGTAAAACTGGTAGGCCTTGAAGGTATTATTGTGGTAGAATTTGTAAGACCTCGTGATGAACTCTGGCCCCGACCTTACTTCACAGCTGGAGAAGATGAGAGCAAGGAAAGACCTTGGTAAACACAACAGCAAGTGGAAGGCAGTCACCACATGTCAAGGAATTGTGTCAGAAAAACAAAATGCTCTCTAAGCCCTTTACAAAGGTCCATTTATTGAATCCTCACAGCAACCTGGATATTATGTATGATTACCACCCATATCTGAGGAGACTGAGGCAAATGATGATGAAATATGTCCAAAATCACAAACTGCAAATGTCCAAGCCTGGCCATGGATCTAGGTGATGCAGCTCCAGGAACTGGCCATAACCAGTGTGTTCCAGAAGTCTTTCGCTCATTGTATATGAGCAGAAAGTGGTACATTCCCTTCTTTCTGGATAAGGAGGCACAGTGAGGTGCTGGCCTATCCAATGAGTGCCCACCCAGTACACTAAAATATCAACTAACTTCACAAACACTTATTATGGAACTTGTCTAAAGGGATGTGAGATGTCCTTTGTTAGGAAGTGGAGTCTACTCTTTTGATGGAAAATGGAAGTTTGCCCTCCTATCCATTCAAAATTAATATTCTCATTAGCAGGAAAAAAAACACAATTAAGTGGAAGCAAAGCTAACATAGTCACAGAAACAACAGCTCCTTTGGTCTGTGTTGGTTGACAAGGGAGAAATATCCTTAGCTAAATGCTAGGCTCTCAAACCAGAAACACTCTGACTTGGTCCACAGAGCAAGCTCTATGAACTCAGGGACATTCCCTGTGGTTTGTCATCAATCCATATAGACACAGTAGAGCCTGTACCAGTGGAGGGGAGGGATTCCTTGAATTGCTGCCCAGAGTTTGTCCAGGAAGCTCCTTTGACCATGATCTATCTACATACTACTCTCAGCTCACCAGAGTTCTACCTCTGCTCATGAACAACTCTGGGCTGAGGTGACCATGTGGCTAGATTAAACAATTGGGATGAAATCCCAAATATAGGTGCTTCTCAAATCTGCTAATATTTTAGGGTTTTAGCTAGCAGACTGACGACAGATAACACTACTTAAAATGGTACATTGTGCTATGTAAATACATTAATATCAAGGTATACCATGTGGATGTAAAACACACTATACAGTCCTTTGAATATTGGTCACTGGAGGCCAGAGACTGAGGCAAAGGCTATCTCGGGTTTTTCCCCAAGGGAACTGGAGTTTAATGTGAGCAGTGATGGGGTCAGTAGAGGTGTAGAAGGGAGGAGCTCTTCCTTTTGCATCTTTTTATCTCAACATCAGCAGCCTGTGGATTCCGCCTCCTGCACTCAGTGTACCTCAGGCCCAGCCTTTCCTCCACTGCTCTATCATCCTTCTCACCCAAGCCTCCACCATGTCCAAGTAGAAGTGCAAGTCTCTCAGTAGGCACTCCCAGGTTGTTCACGTCCATCTATTTGCCACCCTGCAGCTAGAGTGCCCTTTAGTAAAGCTGAATCATATTTTAAACATGCCCAGGCAGAAAAGCATTCAATGACTTCCCAGCTCTCTTAGATTAGAAGACCTATAGACTGGACATGGTGGCACACACCTATAATCCCAGCTTCTCCGAAGGCTTAGGCAGAAGGATCACTTAAGCCCAGGAATTCAAGGTCAGCCTGGGCAACACAATGAAATATTGTCTCAAAAAACAAACCAAACAACAACAAAAACAAAAACCTTTCCCAAAACAACAAAAAGAAAAATATCTTGTTCCGTAAGGTATCTCAGAGCTATACCACACTCCCCAGGGAGCTGAGTACAGGCTGGGGTCAGAGTCTGCTCACTCTGTATCAGCCTGGACTTTGCTAGTTTCCCTACATAGGGAAACTCTTCCTACAATTTTTGTACTACAATGTCTCTGCTCCAAGTCCCTCTCTTTGCTAGACTTCCTAGGCTCCATCCTGATCCTAAAATAAAGCTCTCTCACATTCTCCTTCCACAGCTACTAGTGATTCTTTGTGCTTATTTGTCAAATCTCTGACTATAGGGACCGAGTCTGCTTGATTCATTGTTATATGCATAGAACACTACTGCTTGGCACATAGTGGGCACCTTAAAATTAATTATTTTCAAGTTATGACTTCACATTTAAATTTTACATGCAAATAATTTGTCATGCAGTTATTTTAAAGAGACCTGAAAAAAGTCTGTTTCATCACTTTATAAGATTTCTTTTGTCTTATGTCCATCTCTATTCAATTGTTCCCCCAAGGTCTCTGGAGGCTGCTATCCATATCCCAGGAATAGTGTACAGGGAGAAGTCATCAGATCCCACAGTTAGTCTTGTTAATGCTCAACAATTTAATGGGTAGAAAGAAAATCATAGATCTGCCTCTAGGCTATTTTTAAAAGCTCTAATGGAAGATAAGCCAGAGCTCAAACTGGGATAAATCTCAGCTTCACAGCACAGAAAAGAATCCAAGAACTACGCCCTGACTAGTAGAGGCAGCTTTTAACTTACTCTTAGAGCCCTGAAGCCATATATTAAGTTACCAGAATATGGCTAGAATATTTAGACCATAAGAAGCTTTGCAGTCGTGTTTCAGAGTTGGTGAAACATAGACGCTTAATTTCACTTGCTAATGGTTTCTCTTTATACACAAGTGGTCCCACAGAGTTCAGTAAACAAGGATCCATTCACTCACACTGTGTCCTTACAGTGCTACCATATCATTGCTGCTTCAGCATAAGATTTCTACAGTACTTAGCTCTGTTTTCTTAACCAACCATAATTTCAAAGAGTTGTCTGGTTCTTCATTAGATCTGAGACAACATAAGTCACTGTAGATTGTACAAAGCCTGCAAGTGAAGCCATCTATGGGGTCTTCCACAGTCCTGGCTCTCAGACCCCTCTGCACCTCCTGTCTTGCAGCCCTCCTGCATCCCACTCTTACCCCGTGGACACCCAGTGGCCCTCGATGGTTGGGGGCATCTGCACAGTGATCCGTGCACCATTGTGGAGATGCTTGAGCATGTGATGGCACTGTGACTCCTTGAAAGCCCTCCAGGCACTTTTCTCTAAGGACCGAGGATGGGATCTGCTATCTGGATGAAGGAGGGCAGAGCCCTCTCCCAGCCCTGAAAAACAAGAGCAGAATGTCAGTGAAAGCAGCAGCAGCAGCAGGTGTGAGTCAGGTGGATGACTGTGTTGCAGCAGGGAGTAGCTGCTGTGGCAAAGGCGTGCTCACTCCATCGGGCTGCACCTTGTGCTTGCTCTCTCAGAATTCTCATGCCAAAGTAGGGAACATTCTCCAAGGTCATCTGCCAGGTGAAAAACTGAGATCTTCGAGAATCAGAACCTAGCTTGCTTGAGGTCACCTGGCTAGCTCCTTACAAAGCCAGAGCATAGGTGCACACGCCTGTAAACCAACAGCCAGGGTTGTGCATCTTCATGAGCACCTGTGCAGTAGGGCCACTCAAGGGCTGTAGAAAAGATAAGTGGCCATGCTCTGGAGTCACTGAAAAAGAAGAGGTGGAATTGAAGGGAGAGGCAGGAAAGGGGGCATTAGGAAGGGCGGCCACACACAATGACATATTTATTTAGGTAAGGAAGAAAAAGAGCAAGGAGATCAACGTTGGTGAAAACATAGCCTGAGTAGGTGTGGAAAGAGAAGGGGCAGGAAACAGTTCAGAAACTCCCAGGAGGAATCAGCTCCTTGGCTAGCTCCCATCTGCTCACACTGAGTCATGCATTTTCTGGCTATTGCAGTCTCCAAATGGGTGCCCTTGTTATGATTTGTCTAAGGGCTTATGAATTGGAATCTTGGCTTCCAATGTGCTCATGCTGAGAGATGGTAAGACCTTTTAAGGGGTCAGGGAGGTCCAGTAGGTGGTGTCAAGGCCATGGTGGGTGCTGTCCTTGGAACCTGCAGTCTGCTCATATTCAGACATCAGCAGCCCAAACTCTCAGAGAACTGGATGAATTCTTAGTACTAAGTCCCAGCAGTTAGAAGATAAATATTTCTCTATATGAGCTCTCAGAGTTTCCTTAGTAAAATGCTGCACTCTTTTTTTTTTTTTTTCCTCTTTGGACTATGTTATTAAACTTAATTTAAATGCAGAGTATCTGTTAATTATGTGAATGTTTCAACAACAAATGATCAAGAGGCACAGAAATTAGATGTGACTATATTAAAGCGTATCAGTCTGCAATGAGCATAAGAGGTTTACAGAACAGAAATGAGAGTGACTATCAGGAGTATCAAGTCATCTTTGTATAATGAATTCTTGAACATATTTTCTAATGTTTATTGACATCACTCTTGCATTGCAGTTCTATAAATGAAACTGTTAACACTGATTTGCATGATTAGGCAATGATAACTATATTTGGAAAGGATCTATAGTTTATTCAAAATAAATGATCATCATTGAGCACTCCTCACACTCACAAAATATTATATGTTGTAGAAACAAAACTCACACACTTTTACTTGATTTAATTATACTAATCACCCCCTGAGAAGGCATGCCCTGATTTCTCCATTTTACAGATTCCTAATTAGATTCTTAAAGGAAGATTCTTAAACTATCCAAGTAAAACACTGAGTGTAGGAAATGGAGCCTGGTTCTGGACCTGATAGTCTGTTTCCTGGTAAAACTGTTTTCATTAATCCATGGCAATTTCACTGATTGGATTCTATCTCATTTGGCTTGGATCTCAATAGTGTTCCTGAAAAAATTCAAACAGCTTCTGTTGCTCTTTATAAAACACAAAGCAATATAGGATAATATTACCCTACTTAGCATTATCTTAGTATTATCTTACAATTTGAGTCTGATTCCATTGAAAATAACACATGAGAAAATAGAGCCCAGAACTGATTAAGCAGCACACAGAGGCCACATAATTGGCACTCCTTGGATTGGAATCTGGGTATCTTAAATCAACTAAATAGTACACTGTGTCAATTTGGCATAAAGAAACAAGTCCTAGATTATTGTTTTCTATTGCTCATATATATATGTATATGTGTATATATATATAATCTAGATATAAAGATTAATAAAATTATTCATTTCCACTGGAATGGGGCAAATCTTATAAGAGAAAAAGCAAATTGGTTCTACTGTTAAAGTAATCAGTAGACTCAAATCTGTCTCTCAGCCTACAGCGTTTTATACAAAGTCTGAGAATGAGTGAAGGAATTATCTGCTGTTTACCTTCTGTGGGGAAAAGGGGAGATGAAATCACATTAGGCCTTTCATCTGTCAGTCTCATCTATTTAACTTCACTTTAAAATTAAGCTATTCTTTTTTTAATATTTTATTAATTATCTTTATTTTATATGTATGAGTGTATTACCTGCATGTATGTGAGTGTACCCGTGCCATGCAATGCCACAGAAGTCAGAAGAGGGCTTCAGATTCCTCTGGAACTTGAATTAAGAACAGTTCATAACCACCATGTGGGTGCTGGGAATCGAACCCAGGTCCTCTGCAAGAGCAATCAGTACTCTTAACTGCTGAGCCATCTCTCCAGCCCCCAAATTAAGCTATTCTTTAAAATACCCAGCTCTGCATATAAGATTCCAGGGCATGAGGGAGGGCAGTGGAGTTGAAGGGTGAATGCAAAGAATATACATGTTTGAAGATAATGCTCCACTCCAAACAGAGCAACTGTCTCTGCTTGCCTCAGAAACCATGAGGCAGAGGAACTTATGGGCTCTATTCCACTAATGAAAACGGATATCAGAGATTCTTGACACAAGATAATTATGGTGTGTCACAGTTTGAATCTGAAATGTCTCCCATAGGCTCATGTTTTGAATGTTTGTTCCTCAGCTAGAGGCATCATTTGGGAAGCTGTGGAACCTTTGGGAGGTAGTGCCTAGTAGGCAGAAGTAGGTCACTAGAGACAGGCTTTGGAAGGTTACAGCCTGTTACTTGGTTCTGCCCTGTCTGCTACCTTGCCTAACTTAAAGTGAAAAGCCTGCGCCTGCCATCTGCTCCTGCCACCATGAACTGTGCTGCTTGACCCTGCCTTCTCTGCTGTGATGGACTGAAACTCTCTGACACTGTGTTTCCTCCCTTATGTTGTCCTGTCAAGTATTGTGATCATAGTGCTGCAAAAGTTACTAATATATGCAGTGTTCAATTGAAGGCACCAACATCATTCATTAGTAGTCTACTGATCACAGCCTGAACTGGAATGAAGGTAATAGTAAAAATGGGAAATTCCTGTCTAGTGATGTCATCACTCGTGGGCAGTTATAAAGCAGGGACTCCAATTTCCAGGTTCTCATGAAGGGAAGGCATCATGTCCTCTAGTGATGATCCTAGCTATTTTCTTTCCATTCCACATGTACTCTACCAGATGAGTGGCCTGGATAATGGAGGAACAGGCAAGCATGCTGAACTCAGTCTTCTTTCTTTTTTCCCAAACTAGCCTGCTTACATGCACACAGAGGATTCTACCCCTGCCACTATTCAGTTATGGCACTAGGCCAAGTAGAAAGTCTAACAAATCAAGGGTGAACTACTGGCAATTTTTAAAATATTTTATGTGTATGAGTATACTGCATACATGTATATAAGTGTACCTGTGTCATGCAATGCCCTCGGATATCAGAAGAGGGCGTCGGATCCCCTGGAAATGGAGTTACAGATGGTTGTTAGCCACCACATGGATGCTGGGAACAAAATCCCAGTCCTCTGCAAGAGCAGCCCGTTCCCTTAACCACTGAGCCATCTCTCCAGCCCCAGTACTGGCAATTTTATAATGGACACCACCTTCATTCACTGTGTGCCCTGATGGAGTATTTATCACTATTGTGATCTTTTAATCTCGATTTGTCTGACATCCACACTGATCTCTCATTTGGCTGTGAACTAATGTAGGTGACAGAAGTGCCATTTATTGTATCTCCACCAGCCCCATCAGTTGTAATTATCTTGATGATAGAAGCATTCTTGAATGTCCCTGTTAGGCAACCAAGGAACAAAATGCAATACAACCTGCTGTCTAGTGGGCCAATAATATGATCAATTATAATGCGGCTAGTGTTAGAGTTTAATTAACATCATAAGATATTGAGGGTTGGAGAAGATTCTATTTGAAATGTGACTCTAAGCATTCAGTAAAGATGCCAACATCTCAGTGATAGCCAAGTTGTGCTCTCAAACTTGATTGGCAAACTCCTTTACACTCTGAGAATGTTTTCCCATAAAGATAATAAAAGCCTGAAGTGCATAAGATGGGAGTAAAATATCCCAAGCTAGGTTGCTTGGGTTTGAAACTGGATCTGCCACTTAAAGGATTTTATCTAACCCAAGACTTCAATGACTGTTGAAGTGCATCATAATTTTACTACTAGTGACAAAACACTTGCACTTAAACAATGACATAATGCCTTAAGGATACCCATGAATCATTTACAGCAGCCTCAGCTGGCTTTGACATTTCTTTTATCTGTTCAAAGAGTTTTGGCAATTTTTCTGGCCTTTGGTAGCAAATGTTTGTTCAGTATGTGTCTCAGTAACAAAACACAAACTTGGCTTCATGTTTTCATGGGTATCCTCTTTTCCAAGTTACCAAATAACATTGGGTGAGAAAACACAGAATTGCAGTTATTTGTCCCATGACAAATGTTTGCCTCACTGATGTCAAATCAACACTCTTGTTCTATTATAAGACCTGTTTACTCTTCATAGTGGTTTTAATTCTCAGGATTAAGAATGTAATTTATAAGTAAGTTATGGAGTGAAAGCAAGCATTCTGACTCAACTGTTTCCTCCCTTGATTTTCAAAGGAGATTTGCAAACTAGACTCAAAAGTGAGCATAAGGATGTGCACAAAGGACACAAGGGGGACAACAGGAGCATTTCTAAATTGCCATGGACACAAACAATGTCATAGATCAGGGATTCAGCTCAGTGGCAGAACCCGCCACTCCTGACTGCTACCTACAGACCAAAGATATTGTGACTCCAACAATGGTGAAATCTATACTCACCGTAAACATCTTAAAATAGGGAAAAAAGGTGGAGAGTATATCTTGCAATTGGTGAAATACACTAGGAGCCTCACACAAATGGCTTACCCTCTCTGAGCTTCAGCCTCCTCATGTGTAAGGAGC